TTCCCATACATGACTATTCTGTTTCAATCAGCCAGTCAATTTCATTTGCTTAAAGCCCAGAAAGCAGAATGGTACAGCAGACAGAGGGTTCATGAGCTCCTTGAACTCTGTACAGAAAACTTAACACTCACATGTGCACACACTTTCACACACACACCTGCACGTGCGTGCACAAACTGTCATGTGGGAAGAAGTTCCATTGTTTATGTCAAAGGAATTCATGCTCTGACTTGGGCATATACATGTCAGGGAGGACAAAATAGATCCTCCCCAGACGCAAGTACGGTACAGTTGAACTTCTCTGCCATCTCTGAAAACAGCATTTGTGGAAATGTTGAGGATTTAATTTCAGACTGCACCAGAATTAATACACTGGTTCAAACCAGGAGAGGTAGAGACAGCGTAACGAGGGGCAAGAGAAAGGAGGTAGGACTTGAGAAAAGGCGAAGATAACTCCTCGTTGGGAGAAGAGGAGGACCTCAGTGCCTTCAAGAGGAGTCAAAGAATAGTGTCCACATCTGTAGTTGAAACAAAGGAACAAGGAACCGATTAACAAAGGTCAGATGACTGTGGGTGAAGCACTGTGGCCCTGTTAAGAGGCTATACCTGTAAACTGGCCAGGGTTGGCATTTTGAAGAACCAGGCTAAGAAAATCAGCTGAGGAGAGAAGGTAAAAGTGGTTAGAATGAATCATTAACTATTAGGTTAACCCAAGTTGAACTTGGTGATGAAAGAGTCACGGACAGCTGAAATAGTCACACGCAGACTGGGCTGTGAGCACGAAATCTACATCTTAATTGTTTGGGCTCAAAATGCGGCTACTTCCAAGTGATCAAGGTCAGTATCGGCTGCGATAATTCAGGTTGATAGTACAGAGCCTTGATACGATGTGATGAAAATGCGCTTTACCTTTGTGGTCTTAACCCCAGCCTAATCATGAGAAAAACATTAGATGAATCTCAGCTGAGTAAGACATTCTACAAAACATCTGACCCTACTCCCGGAACTGCCAAGGTCATCACAAACACGGAAAGTCTGAGAAACTGTCACAACCCAGATGAGCCTGAGGAGACATGATAACTAAATGTAACATGGTGTTCTGGACGGGATCCTACCACAGAGAAAGGGCATTAGGGGCGCCTGGGTGGCTCAGTCCTTAAGCGTCTGCCTTCAGCTCAGGTCATGATCCCAGGGTCCTGGGATTGAGCCCGCATCAGGCTTCCTATTCGGTGGGAAGCCTGCTTCTCCCTCTCTCAATCCCCCTACTTCTGTTCCCTCTCTTGCTGTGTCTCTGTCAAATAAATTAATAAAATCTTTTAAAAAATTAAGAAAAAAAGAAAAAGTATATTAGGCAGAAATTCAGAAAATCTGAATAAAGTATGGACTTTAGTTAATAATAATGTATCAATATTGTTTTATTAATAGTAACACATATATCATACTAATATATTAAAAATAGGAGAAACTGGGTTTGGGGTATAAAGGAATTCACTATACTATTTTTCAATTTTCCTATAAATCTAAAACAGTTGTAAAAATACAAAGTTTATTTTTTAAAATGCAGTGTTATTTCACTTACTAACCTTGAGTAAATTACTTAGCCTTTCTGTTCCTCATTGGCTCATCTATAAAATTAGAACAAGAACAGTGGCTATCTCAGAAATTTGTTGTGTAGACTAAATGAATTTATACTAAAGTGCTTAAAACAGATACTAAGCACCCAGCTAGTGTTAGCTGTTACCATTTTTGAATATTTATATAGTAATATTTTACACATATTGACTAAAATGTGACATACAAATCTGACATATAAAATATTAAACTCTAAATTTGTGAACAAAACTTGAAATAATGAAATTTCCCTCAATAGGTCAAGAATGGGCGCCTGGGTGGCTCAGTGGGTTAAAGCCTCTGCCTTCGGCTCAGGTCATAATCTCAGGGTCCTGGGATCTAGCCCCACATCGGGCTCTGCTCAGCGGGAAGCCTGCTTCCCCCTCTCTCTGCCTGCCTCTCTGCCCACCTGTGATCTCTGTCAAATAAATAAACAAAATCTATAAAAAAAAAAAAAACAAAAAGAATTATATAATTTCAAATTTCAAAGTTGGCAAGTCTAGTGAAATGTAAACTGTGTTCGTACCATCTATGGTCACATGGTGGGTCATAATGGAAACTCCTCTGGTCTTCATCAGAATTCATCCTGAATGGGGCACCTGGGTGCCTCACTCGTCAAGCGTCTGCCTCCTGCAGCTTGGGTCATGATCCCAGGGTCCTGAGATCAAGCCCCAAGTCAGGCTCTCTGCTCAGTGGGAAGCCTGCTTCTCCCTCTCCCACTCCCCCTGCTTGTGTTCCCTCTCTTGCTGTGTCTCTGTCAAATAAAATCTTAAGAAAAAAGAATTCATCCTGAATTATGGTCTTAGTAACTACTGCACACTGGCAACCCTCACTTAGGGCCTAAAATTCCTCACAGTGTGAAAAATAAGGGTTGTATTTCAACATCAAGGTAATAACTTAGATGATTCCCATCAAGAAAATGTTGGCTAGGCTACAGACCTAAGATCAAAGTTAAAATAGGAAAACTTTTATTAAAGATTTTATTTATTTAGGGAGAGCATGAGCAGGGTGGGGCAGAAGGAGGAGAGAGAGAGAATCCCAAGCAGACTTCATGCTCATTATAGAACCCAATGTGAGACTCGATCTCCCAACCCTGAGATCATGACCTCAGCCGAAATCAAGAGCTGGATGCTCAACTGACTGAGCCACCCAAGTGCCCCCAAATAATGAACACTTTTATTTATTTTTTTTTAAGATTTTATTTATTCATTTGACAGAGAGAGAGAGATCACAAGGAGGCAGAGAGGCAGGCAGAGAGAGAGGGGGAAGCAGGCTCCCCACTGAGCAGAGAGCCCGATGTGGGTCTCGATCCCAGGACCCTGAGATCATGACCTGAGCTGAAGGCAGAGGCTTTAACCCACCGAGCCACCCAGGCGCACCACGATGAACACTTTTATTTTTTTTAAATTTTTTATTTTTTTAAAAGATTTTATTTATTTATTTGACAGACAGAGATCACAAGTAGGAAGAGAGGCAGACAGAGAGAGAGGAGGTAGCAGGCTCCCTGCAGAGCAGAGAGGCTGATGTGGGCTCTATCCCAGGCTTCTGGGACCATGACCTGAGCTGAAGGCAGAGGCTTTAACCCACTGAGCCACCCAGGAGCCCCTGATGAACACTTTAAAATCACTTAGATGCATGGCAAGAGAAATTAGCAGAAGTCCACGGGCTGAGGCTGACAAGTCTTCCAGTTAGAATGCAACTAATCAAACATGTAAGCAACATATGATGCCTTTAACTTCTGTCTGAAATTGTGCAGACCCACTGTGGGTGCTAGGATTTTGTGCAGGTAAAACCACTCCGCTGTTTTCCCTTTTTTCTAATAATTCAAAATTTCAGTCTAAGTTCTGAGATCTACCTATGTTAACTACTATGAGCGCTTACACAAGAAATTCTCCATATATCAGGTATATTTCTGTTATCTTAAATAGTTTAAGATACCAATCTATAACATACTCAAATGTTTACTGTATTTTATCTTTTGTAAATATTATGTAAGAAAAAGAAAAAAACTTGTTCCCAAGTCATATACAAAAATTTGATGAATGTCAGTGTGGCTTCTTTTGACATTAACAGTGACAGCTTCTGATTTGTTTACAGTAGAAGGGCCACCACCTAAGGAGACTGCTCACTTAATCAAAAAAATAGGGGCAGGGGTCCCTGGGTGGCTCAGTGGGTTGAGCCTCTGCCTTCGGCTGTGGTCATGATCCTGGAGTCCTGGGATAGAGCCCCGCATAGGGCTCTCCACTCAGCAGGGAGCCTGCTTCCCCCTCTCTCTCTGCCTGCCTCTCTGCCTCCTTGTGATCTCTCTCTCTCTGTCAAATAAATAAATAAAATCTTTAAAATAAAAAAAAAAAGCTAGGGGCAAATAAATGTGAAAAAGATCAAATGACAAAGATCAAATATTCAGCTGAAGGAAGATGTGAGAATCAGATATATTTAATCTAGGAAAAAACAGAGGAGTAGAAGGGTACACACAAATGACATTTCTAAATCTAGAATGATTGTTTTTGCTTTTTTGCAATAAGATGTTAGGATAGAAATTTCAAACCTTTGCAAATAGTAAGTTGCCTTGACACATTTTCCCTTTTCTATCTAAAAATCAGAGACGTTTTAAAAGTCCATTTCATTTTTGAAATATTATTTTAAGAATAGTTTGGTCATTGCAGATGTAAACTATTTATTCCCATCTTATTATTTACTTTCTCAAGCTTTTTGATTAGCATTTTTAAAACAACTACATTTAGATTTTTTTTAAAAAAGATCATTGTTTTACTTTTATATCTCCTATAAGTAAGAATGTCAATTTTATGTTCTTGAAGTACACATACAGCAATCTCTCGCTTAAAAAAGAAAAGGACAGTCTTTTTCTTTCATAATAATTATCCCACTAAGATGATATTTTGATATGTATACTAAAGAATACATTAACTTGATTTCAATAATCATTAGCTATGCATATTACCTTTGCCATAGGAAGTAAATTATAGCAACCAATGTGTGTATAACATTTCCAACTTTATAATTGTATATAGATTTTATACTCACATATGTCTGATCTCTCCAAGTAGTAGGTACATGTTAAGATTTTTATAACTTATGATGATAAATGAATGTTTTTTTTCTGATTTTGTTATAATAGTCTTGATATATTGCATTGATTTTCAAATGGGAAGATTATTAGTTTTTGGATTTCCATAAAAATGATAAACCCTGACCCTTTTACTGTATACATTATTATTCTCTATGGCAACAAGTCTCCAAAGAAAATACAAAGTAATGAAACCATACTTACTCAACTGATCTCCATATTAAAATTATTTGTGGTTCTTAGTCACTTAATGCCAAGTCACAAACTAAAATATTTAAAATTAAATACACTAGTTAGTTACCTATGTAAAGATATGCCCCTCTCTCCGTTATACAAATGATTATAGACGACTGGTCTATATTTATTATTATTCCAACACCATAGTTCAGAATTCCATGTTCTGAAGGTTAGAAAAGGAGAAGGCAATAAATATCCCCAAGTAAGAGATATTTGAATCTATGAACTCATTTTGTCTTCATCTCTTATGATGCCTATAATTAAGAACCAACATACAAATTACAAGTGTTATCAAAACCTGCCAAGAAATTTTTTAAAAAGAACCCAATCATCAAATTGGACAAACAATAGCCTTTAAATATTGAGAAATATCTTTGTGTGAAGATGAACCAGAAAGATGATTTTCATGCTGTGACTTGTTACATAATATGCTATAGTAGTTTAAACTGATTGAGAAGAAAATTCATTTCAAAGATAAAGCCGGGTTCCAAGGGGGAAGATGGATAAAGTCATTGAGAAATCAACCAATTTTTTCTTTATGTTCTCTCCTCAAACTCACTCTCCCTTCTTCTCTCCCTGCTTTCAGCAGCTGACCACATCTAGCCCCTCTGTGTTCCCAGATATTCTGAAGGAATGTCCTTCACTTCCCTAAATAGCACAATTTTCAGTGAAGTGAAGGTAAGGGGAATGAGTAGCTGTCATCTCAGAAAGAGACATGCTACTGTATTTCCTGTATTAGCCTGGAGGGCTGCAACATACAGGACAAAGAGAGATAACCGAAAGAAAAAATACTATTTTAAGTACAGTGGTGTAAAAAAAAAAAAAAAAAAGTGAGTGACAACTACAATGTGCATCTCCTTGTAAAACCTTTCATTTTCATTAAAATTAAAAAATGACTCCATAATCTGTGGCAAAGTAAAATGTCATCTCTTCTATAGTTTTGCTATGACTCCAGAAGGTAAATGAATGAAGCAAACTGCACAATGATGCATAAAATTACTACTATATATTATTTTCGAGGCAGAGCCACATCTATATATGGAACACAAGATATTTCAGAATGATTGCAACTTGCTGTCTTCATAATTTTATAGAATTAAAATTAATATTAGAACATTTTAGTAAAACCCTAGCAAAAGTACCATATATGCATACCCAGATGTTATATGTGGGTATGTATGTAGAGGTCTACATATATATACACACACATACATATATACTGAATTATTAACACTATAGAGCATATGCCCCCCACACCCCATTTCTATCAGTAAGAAAATAATCAACCTGCACGAACTGGAATCAGATTCATTTTCTTCTTCACTAGTGCCATCATCCACTTCTGGTCTATCCAGCCAATGGGCACCGCCACAATCTTCTGCTGTGAACTCAAACGCAGGGACTTCAGAGGTGGATGCCATTGGCCAAGAAGGTGAATTCTGAAAATCCAGTTGGCTGGACCTTCGGTAACCAATTGAAGCCAAAGGCAACTGGAGGCTACATGGATCTAAAAACTTTCTCCCACCGTTTGCGCCAGTCTGTCCTCGATTCCAAAATTCTCCCTGCTGGCTGTCAACTGTAGAATGAGATGATGCTTGATGGCTAAACCACCTCCATCTGATTTTCAAAATCTGCTTCACATCAAACTCTTTACGAGAACCAGACATCCTCAGAGAAACCAAGTGATCGTCTAGGCAACGGGCAGAAAGCACTGCACCCAGATTTTGTGCATCCGACCAAGATAAGAGAAGTCTATGCCTTCCTGTACACAACAAACAGATCGAAAGGCAATAAATCACGTTCACATATATATCTGCATTAACTTTTATACCAAGAGAGCAGATGATAAAGAACAAAGGAGAATGAATAGCGATGCAACACAGTGGAACATTCCGTTCAATCAGAGCAAACTCTCATCCACCTATCCTGAAGCAGCTCGACCACTTTCCCCCCTCTCTTTTCCCATACTGACCATTAGCTCTCACAAACACTGACAGCATTCATTAAAGTCCTTTCAAATGCAGAACACCACCCTCTTTTCTTAAACCACAAATGACAGAAACAGAAAGCACTATCCCCTGGCAATATCTCAGTCTGGGGCTGCTTAGTGGATTAACTCTTCCATTGCTGAAACCAGGAATTTATTCCAGAACATTTTCCTTTGTACATAAAAATCACTGGGAAACGAAAATGTTTCTGGTTTCAGACTAAATTCCCAGAGGAGATATCACAAAATCATCATTTTTTTTTAAAGCATGTTTTTGTCAGATGAGTTACAGTGACTTTCGAGCTGTGCTCTGTAGATGGCAGGAGGAGGGGGAGGGAGACAAAGGTGGGGCTCCTGTTCGTTGCTCTCCGCTTCTATCTTCTTCCTTCAGGAAAGCAATGTATTTAATTAATACAGTAAGATCTGGGGTAAGATTTCATTTGGGCAAAGATTAGAAAGAAAAAGTCTGAAAACTACAAAGGATCAAAATATGACAGTACTTACTCTTTTCTCAAAGAAATAACTGGAAGCCAGTATTGCTCTATAGTTAGGATTGGGCTGCTTGGATTTAGTATAATTTCTGAATTTGTATGACACGGTTTAGAAAGAGGAAAGCGTGGCTCAAGAAAGCTACCAAGGACTGGGACGGGATTATTTCTTGGGTGTACAAGTATTTTCATGGTGCCCTCTATTGTTAGCAAAACAAAACAAAGGTCTGAACATAATTACAGTTAAGGCAAATTGATAAAGCGACTTAAAAAAATCAATCAAAATTTAAAATACTGAGTAGTCACTGTGAGCCAGACACCTAGGGAGGCCTCGAGGGGGACACAGTCACGTAACATCTCGGTTCCTACTTTCAAAAAGAACTGAATCGAGTTACTGAAACAAAAAGTACTTGGTAATTTAAGTAGAAGACACATTATAAAGCTGCAATATTAATATACTGTGATCTACAAATACCGAATTGAAGTTTTCAGGGTGTTCAATGTCTAATGCTGTTTTGCTTGAAAGACAGTGCCTATTCATCAATGGACCAAAATAAGGTTACTTTGAGGCTTATGAAAATATTGGGAGGCATAGATCTTAAGTCCACACAGCTCTTCAGAAGAATAAAAATTACTCCGAGAAAAAAGAAAAAGAGGCATGAAAAACCATCTACAATTTTGTGGCCAATATCGTAGAACAAACCATAAATACTATAAGAAAGAAGAAACAGATATGGGGATGGTGTGGGGTGGTATGTACCCGTTTAATTGGAAAGAAGGTCTCTGGGAATAGTAAGCTGTAGAGAAAGAATGAGGATATTTTATAAAGGAAAAAAGATATTAATAAAAGCATGAAGTGAGCATATTGACAAAGAAAGTTGTGGGGGGGGATAACAGTCTGATCAGCCAGCCAGACATACCTAATTAATTTTAAGGAGTAATAAGACATAAACTGGAATGAATATGATAAGATAAAATGCCTTGGGCATAAAGCAAAGGTGTAAAGACTCACAGGCAATATTAAGTGGACCGTTGAACAGGGCAATGTTTTAGAAAATTAATTTGGCAGCGGTCTGCAGGAGCCATTCAAGAGGAAAATGACATTCTCCCTGTCTGCTCACCTCTGTCACACTCCTTCCTATCAACAGTTCCAACTCCACTCTATCCAACTTTGTTTCTATTTTCCAACAAGGACCTGCCGCTTCATCAGTTGGGATAGAGTCTACATTATGTTATTCCAGCTTTTATATGCTATTTGTGTCCCCAGGTCTCTGGGTTTAAGATCTTACTGATCCTTCAAGGTCAGCATAGGTACCTCTGTCCACAGAGAGGCACTTCCCATTCCTCTAGCCTTGTGATTCTCAATGGGGGCAGAGCCTCTGCTCCTGCCCCCCAAAATGGCTTCTGGAAGTCACGAGGGGGTGGGGGGAGGAATGAACTTGTAGTTGCTGGATGACCAGAGATGACAAATGTCTTACAGTGCATGGTAAGGACCCACTTCATGGAGAGATGTCCCTGTGGTAATTCATCAGGATCTTGTCATCATCGTCATTCAATTTTACATAAAGGATTCTTTATGTAAAATTTACATAAAGGATTCTTTATGTAAAATTTACATAAAGGATTCTTTATGTAAAATTTACATAAAGGATTCTTTCACCAGTGTTTGGAAATTCATCTGTGTTGTTGTCTGTAGCAGCTGACAGTTGGTTTTTATGGCTATATGGTATTCCACTATATAAATATACAACCATCAAAGTATATTCTTTTGCTCACTTCAGTTGTTTCTTGTTTTAGAATTTTGCAAGTAATGCTTCTGAGAACGCTCTTGTCTGTATTATCAGATGTACATGTATATGCATTCTTATTGTGTACGTATGTATATATGTGTACATATGTATGTGTGTATATATGTATATACATATATGTATATATGAAACAAAACTGCTAGATTATAAGGTATGCATATTTTCAACTTTGGCTGTTCTCACTGATTTATACTCCTACAACTGTATGAGAATTCCAGGTACTCCACACGCAGCCAATACCAGTACTATCAGTCTTTAATTTTAGTCTCGCTGATACAGGTGCGCAGTGGAATCCCATTTGATTTTTTACTTTACATTTTTCTGGTTATTAACATTGTTGGGTAACTTTTCATGTTTACTGGGCATCTGGATATCTTGGTAAAAGGGTCTTTGCTTAGTTTTCTTTATTTTTTTTTCTATTAAGTTATCTACATCTTTTTGATTTGTTGAAGCCCTTTTTATTTCTAATAGGAGTCCTCTATTAATACAATTTTAATGTAAACCACCCTTTTCCCACTGTATTGAGGTATTGTTTTTGGTATTAAGTAGCATCTCATATATTCAGAGATCAATTTTGGGGTACCAATTCTATTTGTCTACTGTTCTACTATTTGTCTTTTTAAGCCAATAGTACAGTATTTTAATTATAATCTATCATAAGATGTTTAATATTTGTTTAAGCAGGTTCCTATCTCCATATATATCCTTTTTTAACAGCTGGAGCACCTGGGGGCTCAGTCAGTTAAGCATCTGACTTGATTTCAGCTTCGGTCATGATCTCAGGGTTCTCGGATTGAGCCCCATGTCAGCTCTGTGCTCAGCAGGGAGTCTGCTTGGGATTTTCTCTTTCCCTCTCCCTCTCCCCCTCCCCACCTAAAATAAATAAGTAAATCTTAAAAAAAATAAATAAAATACTTTTTAAAGTTAAGTTTAGATATTAACCCTTGTATACACTTTAAAGTAGTATTACCCAATCCTCTCCTCAACAAAAAGCCCCGACCCTATTGAGATTCTAATTGGAATTGCCTTAAATCTACATATGAATTGAAATGACTGGCATTTTATGATATTAAGGCTTCACATCTAAGCATATATGTTGTTTAGTTCGTTCAGCTCTCATCCTCACCAATAAAATTTTAAAATCTTTTGACTATAGGTTTGGTGCTTTTCTTACTAAATTTTTTTTATCAAGTTCTGTTCCTTTCTTTTTTTTGTCACTGTAGTAAATAATTTTTTTCTAGTTTCATTTCCCCATGGTTATTTCTACTATAATGAAAGCGTTGAGTACATTTATCTTGCATCCAGTCATTTTATTATACTTCCTCATTAGTTACAGTTTTTGCATTGGTGCTCATTTCTCATTATATTAAGTTACAGGTACCTTTGAGACGCCTAAGTGGAGGTGTCAGATAGCTGGGATAAATGTTCCTGGAACTCAGATCCAAGCTCCAAAAAACTCTAACAGAAGTCTAATGGTGGAGAAGCCGTCAAAGGAGACTGGAAAGAAATAACCAATGAAGTAGAGGAAAATCCTCAAGGTCTGGTGTCAGGCAAGTCAAAGGATAAAGGTGTTTCATGGCTGAAGGCATGGCCACAATGTCAAATAAGAGGGTGACTACCACCTACAAGGAAAAATGTCCACGGGAATTGTCAACATAAAGATTTTGCCAAATGAGATAGGAGCTGTTTCAGTAAAGGGGTAGGGACAAACCCAGCCTGAGGTGGGTTTAAGAGTTAATGGAGTATGAGAGGAGTAAGGAAGGACATGATCAGAACTTGTTCAGAAAATCTGAACAGAGAGGCTGGATGGGATTATAGATGGAAGAGGTGAGGGATCAAGGCAATAGATTTGCTTACTTATTTGTTGATTTTTTTAAAAAATATGGAACACACCAGAATGATGAGAATGATCCAGCTGGAAGATGAGATTGATGACTACAGGGAAGCATTGAAGCAAAAAACAGTGAAGACTTTGATAAAAGGGAAGGAATGGCACCTGGGTGTAGTGGATGGCTTTGATAGTCATAGGAGGAGGGATGCTTCTTCTGTTCTAAGATTTACAACTTTCTAAATGCATTGATTATTTAAAAGGAAAGGCATACATTAAGTAGTCTACTCCAGATGAAAATCGAATCAGCCCTCTAAAAGGACTCATGAAATAATAAAGATCAGAGGAGAAACTAAAGAACTAAGAAATAAAATGACAGAATTAATAAAGATCCAGCTCTTGAAAAATTTGCCAGTGTATTCTCTCACCTTTTAGTAAATACAATCAAAGGAAAAACAAATTAGAACTTAGAGGATAAAATAACAGTTATAATAAAATAGAATATTTAAATAAAATAATTAAAAAATAAAAGACTGGGGTGCCTGGGTGGCTCGGTGGGTTAAGCCTCTGCCTTTGGCTCAGGTCATGATCCCAGAGTCCCGGGATCGAGCCCTGCATCGGGCTCTCTGCTCAGTGGGGAGCCTGCTTCCTCTCTCTCTGCCTGCCTCCCTGCCTACTTGTGATCTCTGTCTGTCAAATAAATAAATAAAATCTTAAAAAATAATAATATATAAATAAATAATAAAAGACTAATACAGCTACAAAAATTTTAGATGTCAAATTGAGTAAGGGAAAGTGCTGACAAATGGAGAGAATTTAGGCAAGTGAAGTTGGAAAATAGTCTTCAAAGACAGAATTTTCTCAAAATCGCTTACAGCTAGACCTCTGTTTAATAGTTTTGCCCAAGGTTAAGCTTGTCTAAGCATGGGTACTTTGGTGAAAATTCTTCATTCTGACCAAAAAGTTCAAAAATTATCTACTGATACAGTAGCCTATTATAGCCCCCATGTTAGAAAGAGCTTTACAAAAATTATTTCCCAGCTTTAACTCAATTCTTGGGCCATGCTTTCTTTATGAAAAATATGTAGTAAGCTTAAGAAT